CCATCGATTGGAACTTCCATTGCTATCGGGTACCATGAACATACACATCTTACCCTACGTTGTAATAATTAAACCATGATAGAATATGGGCAATAGCACAACGTACAAATCAAATGTTATGTTATTGGAAATCATATAGCCATAGAAACCTGTTAGTTGTTTTTGTTATATTCCTCAACGGTATACGTTGCAGATTGAAAATGATGTTTGTTTTTCGTTGACAAAAATCACCATTATTTGTTACAAACTATTGATGTTATCTACCGAACACGGCTAAGCACCAACTCTTATATCATAAGCTGTCATACCTACCATTAATAATATTGTCTTGGTCGCCTTTGTTTCCCAATATATTTTTACACAATACACTGCGTATCATAACTATAGACGCACCTTTAATTCAATTGGTATGTTAGTTGACAAATAAAATGGACCCATTAAGTTATTGTTCACAATAAAACGATCAAAAACACATATTATTCAACAAAAATAATTAATTTATTCTTTATGGTTTCGCCGAATTCTGCACTTTCAAAATTGCTGGTGTTGCATAACTATAGACGCACTTTTACAAAATTAGAAAAATTTTTTTTTGAAAACTTAAATAAAATAAAATAACTTTTATAAATAATGGGTAGGATCTCCCTTATTTTGAATAAGTTCAAAAATTATATCCATCACACTGTTGATCAAAATTATTCGAAAGTATTCATCGATTGACCGCCATTCATCGATAATCACTTCTTGGAGGTAAAATACAGTTTGGTATTGGAGGTTTTCTGCATAGACACGATGAGTCAAGATTCCACACATGTTCTCGATCGGATTCTGGTCGGAAATTTTAATATTTTTTTAATTTTAACCATACTTGAGTACGGCGACTTTTATGAACTGGCGCGTTGTCCTGCTGAAAAACGAGTCCTTGATTGTTGCTGCTTTCCCAAAATGGCAATAATTTGTCTTCCAAGACTTGAACGTACTCCATTGAATTCATCCAACAACATGGAAATGTCAAATAAGGCATTCCGTGGCTATAAAATGCTCCCAAGGTGGCGGTTACCGAAATATCGTTATTTCTTAATACGATATTTCGGTGGCGGTTCCTTAATGGCCTTGGGAGCATTTTATAGCCACGGAATGCTTTATTTGACATTTCCATGTTGTCGGATGGAGTACGTTCAAGTCTTGGAAGACAAATTATTGCCATTTTGGGAAAGCAGCAACAATCAAGGACTCGTTTTTCAGCAGGACAACGCGCCAGTTCATAAAAGTCGCCGTACTCAAGTATGGTTAAAATTAAAAAAATATTAAAATTTCCGACCAGAATCCGATCGAGAACATGTGTGGAATCTTGACTCATCGTGTCTATGCAGAAAACCTCCAATACCAAACTGTATTTTACCTCCAAGAAGTGATTATCGATGAATGGCGGTCAATCGATGAATACTTTCGAATAATTTTGATCAACAGTGTGATGGATATAATTTTTGAACTTATTCAAAATAGATCCTACCCATTATTTATAAAAGTTATTTTATTTTATTTAAGTTTTCAAAAATAAATTTTTCTAATTTTGTAAAAGTGCGTCTATAGTTATGCAACACCAGCAATTTTGAAAGTGCAGAATTCGGCGAAACCATAAAGAATAAATTAATTATTTTTGTTGAATAATATGTGTTTTTGATCGTTTTATTGTGAACAATAACTTAATGGGTCCATTTTATTTGTCAACTAACATACCAATTGAATTAAAGGTGCGTCTATAGTTATGATACGCAGTGTATACTTCATCATAATGATAATTGATTTATGCCAAAATATGTTAACTCAAAAAAGATTTCAATTACACATCCTTACATCCCAATTTGACAAGGATTACAACCATGGCATACTTTCGACCACTACTCCGAATGTTGTCGATTCCTATCTCATGAGACAAGCAAGAATTAAAGCATTGATATTGAATTTTGTTTAAGTACATACAATATACATATGTATATAATATATTTTGACGTTCTTTAATAGCATTTAATAATACATAGTTTTTTTCAATTATTTTGTTTTATTTTAATTTATAAATTTTATTTATTTCGTTTTATTTCCATAACATAATTGTTGTTGCCTTTTCATTTGCTTTCGTTTTATTTGATACAATTGAGCATAAAGTATGATCGATTTCTCGACTACGGTCTACGGATCGATCGATCCGTAGATCGGGGATCATGGTGTTTGTCAACCACTAATAAAATAAAATGAAACTGGTAATATTTTTATTGTTTTTTTTTTTTCATTTTAAAAAATGTATAATGTAAAAAATATATATAAAGAAATAAAGATCCAAATAAAATTAAGTATAAAAAATATTGTATATGAGCAATGTATGACGATTTGTGTTTGTGTCTGTGTGTAACTACTATAATTAATAAGATTGATAAAAAATTAAACAATAATTACATTTAAATAAAGTTAATACAATTATAAAAAAATATGTAGATGTTTGTTAAACAATACTTAGGTCAAATAAAATATAATATTAAAGAATTAAAAAATTAAAAAAAAAAAATAAAATAAAACAAATACAAAATTATGCTATAATAGAACGATAACTATGAATATAGATAGGTTTTGTTGTTGTTGTTGTTTTTTTATAGATGCCTTTCAAAACAAAAGAAAGATGTAGTAAATAATTCAAGTAAAGGAAAAATTGTCACCTAATAATTTTGCTATAATACAAGAATGGTATATGGCATGACAAACTTTGCATGATGATTTTTTTCGTTTTTTTATAATTTTTGGTCTAAACTACATACAATTAGATGAAAATTCCAGGTAAAGCTTGTATATATGTAAGTTGTGTATGTGTGCGCTTTCTTATATAAATCTGTATAATTTTCTACACATAATTTGCCTTCTTCTTTATGGGGTAACATGTCTTTTTGCTTGCATCCTTCTATGCCATTGTGGTATGGACAATCGTGATCGTGTGTGTATATTAGCCGACAACAGAGCTTCTGATAACGTCCTTTTGATTTTAATTTGTATTTCAAATAAAAGACAGTACATAGCCAGCATTCAATTGATAGTCAATTATCACACCAATACGGCTACGTATTGCACTAGTATTTTTTTCCTTTTTCTTTTGCTTGTTTGTTTCGTATATTCCTTAGAGGAATATAATTTATTTTAAAAAGACGTTATTAAAAGCTCTGTTGCGTGTGTATTTGTATGGGTTGATTTTAGTTTTCAAAGCGATCAATTGCTAAATTGCTTAAATCCATTTAACAATAGAGCTCTTTGCATCCTTTTAGGTGGTTTATTAGGCCTGATTTTAGTTGTACGTCTGTGGCTGGCCATACTTGGAATTCTCTCTGACAACTCGTATCCTTTGTCAAGGTATAATTGTTGTTGTGACGTTGATGGGATGTATTGGGAGTGGGAATTGTATTTTTTTCTTGTTTTAGACTTTTTCTGATTTGCTTATAGACTAATATCATCTTACAGAACTATGTATATATTTTCATTTTTTCTTTTTGTTTTTCTTTTTTATTTTAATCGAATATACATTATTAATGTACTTGTTGTTTCTTCCGGTTTTCATATATTATATAATATGTATATATATATATATATATATAAACTATAAATATCTATTTATATAATTTTTTGTTTTATGTATAATTTAGCTTAATAATTTGTGTCGATTTTGTGTGTTGGCGAATATTTTATTTATTTGATTACTTTCATTCAAGGACCTTAACATTATTATAATAATTATTACAACAAACAATTCCTTTTATGTAGGTGTATATATATGGCCCTTTACTTTATTATAGATAAAAACATCTCACATGTCGAGATACGTTTAAATCCAATCTCACAATAATTACTAACTGGCTGTGTATCGACGTTTTCAATATAGAACAAAACGTCCTTCTACATTATTACAATTGGCATCTTGAACATGCGATTATGATTTGAGCTTGGCAGAAAGGTTTTTGTTACGTTTGAATGCCCGAAGTCAATACAAGTATGTGCTACATCATTTATTGGCTAAGTTATCCAGACACATATAACAGATTTAAACCTCAATAAGTGTTATCTCTTCTACATAAGATACCAGTTATCCAAGTTTAACTCTTCCTCTACGTAACTCAAATGATGGAGAGCACTTAGTTGTAGTCACTTCAGGCTTGGGGAAACAAATCGGTTACCGATTATTCACCACCATTAGCTAACAAAATAAAAAGGGAATTAAAATATTATAATTATAAATTGAAAGTTGAATGTATACCTATGCAAAAAAAGAATGCTAGGGTAAGACGACATCACAAAGAATACGCGGCAATATGCACGAATAAAATAACAAATGACATCAGAATAGGGTAATTAATTGGCTGTAACCAATTGCATAGAATTTGTCTAAATCGAAAAAGGATTTCACAGAATTAGATCATATGTGAATTTCAAATTAATGGACTTTGACATTTATCTTGCGACACGTGTCACATACCTTCCATTTTCTACAGAGAGCTATTGATAGGAAAAATACATGATCTTGAATTATATAAAACATTCTTCTTAACTAGGACGAAAAAAAACAGTTATATGGTGGTGGATTTTGACTACGGCCATTAAAGAGAACAAACTAAAAAAAATAGAAAGACAAATGGGGAGTATAAAATAGGATATTACAATTCTAAAACAGAATTTGGCGAATAGATTTAGATATAGCTATGTACAATTTATGCGATACCATGACGGCGGGACATCCAAATCAACAGTACACAACTGCATGGTGTAGGCAAGGAGGGACACTTCACTTCTTTTTGGCTGCCTACAGTTGGGGCTGGTGATGCATAAGAAGATGTGGTGACGGAGGTGGGGGGTGTTGTTGCTGCTGTTGATGATTATGATGGGTGTTTGACATGGCACCGGACTGCGACTGTGGATGACGTCGTCGAAACAAACTCAGATTGTTCATCAGTTGCTGCTCCAGATCAGATCCGGAGGTCTGATGTCGGGATTGATGCGGCTGTGTAGTCAGCTGCTGGTGGCTGGTTTGATGTGCGGCGATATCTGTTGGCAGAAGGGAAGTGGGCGGATCGTTTAGACTGCTATGCGCCTGCTATTGGGTGTGGGGCGCGGGATTGTGGCTTTGTAAATGGGGCGGCAGTTGTACACCAGGTTGTTGCGCTTGCAGAGGTGGCTGGCCTACAGTTGGGAGACCGCTTTGGGCTGTCGGTGGTAGTTGCGGTGTTGGTTGCCCATATACTCCCGGTGGAGGTTGCGGTAGCATATGATGTTGGGCCGCCAGCTTGGGCCCATCTTCGGCCTTCTCCTCTTCTCTTCGCTTGAGACATGCTGCTTTGGGATTTAAATTGCGTTCCCTCACCTGCTGTTCCAGTGTCATTATCACCTCAACGGCCATGTTGAGTATGCCCAACTTTGTCTGCGGCTTATCGGATTTCAGGTGTGTCATACACATGCGACCGAGTTCTTTCAGTGCCTCGTTTATGTCCCGTATACGAATACGCTCACGTGCATTATTCGCTTGGCGTCTTTCTTTCTCTCGCATGGCTTTAACAGCGGGCTCAGCATCATCGTCATCATCCGCCGATGAACAGTAACGACGTGGTCTTTTTGTGCCTTTTCCGGATAAAGGACCCTGGCCATGCTGGGAACTTTCCATTGAACTGCTCGGCTTAGTGTCTGTCACATCGAGCATGCTGTTCATAGCTGACGTGGACGGAGCCACACTGGAAGCAGCTGCTGCATTCGCTGACTGTTCTTTCCGTTTTTTGCCCTTTGTCGCACCTGTTGCGCCCGATGAACCACTTGCGTTTACCGTTGTTGATGTGCGCTCCATTTTTATTTGAGGGGCTAGTCCTCCTACAACGCCTCCCACATTTTGCACGGACGACGGACCCGCCGACATCACGTCGTGTGTTGTGTTAAGCACTGAGGGACCGGCACCGCCCGAAACCATACCGTGTCCGGACGGGGATGTTGGTACAAATGAAGACAATCCATCAATATTGTCCATAGCAGAGAGCGTCGCATTTACTCCGCTCAAAAGCTCGGGTTCACAATGATTACGCAGCACATGAAGAGCATCGTCTAGTGAATGCAGACCGGATGGCACCATATCGGATGCGTAATTTCCACTAGCACCACCGCCTACAGCACTACTGCTACTGGGACCAGCTCCATTTAGAACCGTGTGACCCCATCCAGAACCAGAGGGACCTGATGGCCCAACTCCACTTTTATCCACCATCATAGTCTGTCCAACTAATCCGCTTTGGGTGAGTGGAGGAGGTGAATTCACAGGTGTTGAGGGATTTGAACTGAAACTACTGATGGACTGATCGGCCGGGGTTGATGACATATACATGTGTTGACGCAGTCCACTGTTTGGACCGTTTGTCCCAGGGACGCCGCCTACATTGGAGGTGGAGGAAGGTTTCGGTCCAATATTGACACCGACACCGGGCACGCCCACTCCGCCCACAGCAAAAGCATCATTCTGTATTGCTGGACTATGTGGTGCGGCGTGGTGCCCTCCCATAGGATGATGGTTGGGATGTGGTCCCGGTGTGGATATGGAGCTGTGTGGAGTGCTATGTGGCTGTGGTGAGTTATATAAGGCGGGCGAATGTGCAGCTGGATTCCCACCGATTTGTTGTATGTTATTTGTGTTATTGCCGCGAAAAGAGCTCATAGGAGGCAACAATGTGGGTGCTGGACTGTGCATGCCTACGTGACCAGGATCCATTTGAAGCCCCATGGCTGAATTCGGACCCATATGATGTGCATCGGGATCATGGTGCTGTGGTGGACCCCCCAAGTGATGACCGCTCATAGGTCCGTTGTTTTGATATGCTGCTTGGCCGCCGTAAGCGCCTGTTCCGCCTACTGGTGAACCATACCAACCTCCACTGCCACCCGCATTTCCACCATTACCAATTCCTCCGTCAAAATACTGATCTACTGGTGCGCCACTCGGGAATCGCATGCCACTGCTAGCGGCTCCTTCATGTATCGGATTAAAATCATCTCCTCCGTACATGCCATTCTCCATGCCACCGAGACCGCCATATGATGATTGATAACCGCCATTGCGATCCCCAGGTACACCAACATTCGTACCGGCTCCAGCAGGTTGTTTATTTGCTATTTTATTGAAACAATTCTGAAAGACTTCATACAAATGCATAGGTTCGTCATCGCTGGTGGCCATATTGAGTGTGGAATAGAGGCAACAAAAGTTTCGTCCTGAAGAAGATCAAAGATGTTTTCGCACTGGCAGCTGCCAACGCTTAGGATACTGGCGTCGTCCCTCCTTCGATTATGGTTATTCCCTTTGTTGTTGATTATAAATCTGCAATAGAAGAAAATAAATAGAATATGTTATAACATAACCAAACACATAATATGTATATTCTATATGAAAAAAACCAATTGCAAAAAGGCAGCGGTACTGAATTGTCTTCTTTTGGATTTACTAAAAATAAAATATACATACATATAAATACAAAGAAAAACAATGATAATGTAATCGAACAGAAATTTAAGGAACGAAACTGAATAATTAGTCCATCATACCTTTATCACGAATATTTCAATTATAAAACAAACAAAAAAACAGGTTCACTTCCGCAAAGTAAAATTCCTTTGAAATTACTTCATTAAAAAAATAACTTAATTGTAAATGGCGGGGGGGAATGTATGGGAATGACTCACGTTATCTTCAACGCAGCATTGCTCAATGTTAGAAGGATGCTGTAATAAATAAATATTTAATCATTTGAACTCGATTTTTCCATTGTCCATAACAAATAATTTTTCTTTTTTTCACTTTAAATTGATTTTGATTTTAATGTATGTTAGGTCTGGTTGGCTTTTTCTGTCGATTAGGAAGTTGGTTATTCGCTAAATAAACAAATGAAACATTAACGTTTACTAGTTGCGTAGGCGAAAATGTTTATAGTACCATTTCTTTAAATCGTTCTGTATTCGGATTGTACTGCATTTTAAGCTGTACTGTACGGCATTTTAAGCATTTACGTATCTTCAATTGATTACCATTTCATTTATTATTTATTCAGTTTTTTTAGGTTAAAGTTAATCTTATTTATAATTTCATTTAGTCGTTGGTGCAATTAATAATTTTTTCGCAAATAGTAGTTCTTTTTTTTTTTTTGCCAAATGTCGGCACCAAATTTCAGAATTGTCAATATTTTATAACAACATTAAATTTTAGCATTTCATATGTGCTATCCGAATGAACATTACTTAAGTTTATTATAATTAAATATATTTTAGAAACAGGCATTATTGTTAGCGCTGAAATATCAAACTTGCAATTATTCAATAAACACGGTTTCATGAAATTTTATGCTGAGATAGGTGAAAATATATGGGAGGCTATTCAACGTATCATCATATGGGAGGCAGTAAATCACGTGCAACATCCATTACAAAGCACAAAAAAAACATATTTCCAAAATACTTTAATATAATGTTGCATAATGTTGTTGAATTAAATATAATTATTATACGACTCCTCAAATAAAATTGATTAGAATCAAATATGTAAACATTTTATCAACTTAATGCCTTAAATAACACTGTGCGACAAATTTGAATTTTTTTGATAATTACCGGGAAATTCCAACAGATTATGAAAGAGGGGCCAAAAAAAAGAAAACACGTGTATCGGGGTTTTGAAAGTTTACGTCGGGAGGTAACCTAAAAAGGGGGGGCTATATTCCCCCTTTTCTAGAATTTTGATAATTTTCGAATTATGATTTCTTGAAATCCTTGCATTTTAGGTATATAGTGTCTTCGGCAATATTACTGATAAAATATCGAGGAATATTTTGGTATGCAACATTAACCCTCAACCGACTCATTAAAGGGGTCTTTTCGGTCCCCTTTTCCAGGAGTGATTGAAAACTCATTCAAAACGGTGTTAAAGCTGCTCAGAATATTCTACAGAAATGTTCGCCATAAAGTTTTACTATAAGTCTCAGAATACACTAAAACTCAAAAATCAAAAACGTCAAAAATCTTAAAATGACAAAAACTGATTTTAGGGTTAATATCGTACTTATTACTAGTTTTTATCCATTTTTCCCACAAGATGTCGTTTTAGAAGGATTATTTATTGAAGAAAAACTTATATATTTGACAAATTTCTTTATTACCTTCTTTAAATTTTTTTGTGAAAATACTTTTCCATGTACATTGATCCAAAAAAAAGTGTTGTTAATTGATTTATTTTAAAAAAATATTAAAATTAAAAAATAAAAAATTTGCTGCCGACTTTAGGAAACGTTTATCCAATACTCGGCATGGTTAACACACTCAATTTATAGATTTAAAAAAATTGTGAAAACCCATTCAAAACTGATTTTTATTGTATATGAAAATTATTGAAAAATGCTTCCATATGACGGCTATAGAAATATGCAGACTTTTTTGTTCCTAAAGGCTTATTAAATGTTATTTTATATGTATCATCTTATTGTTTACAATTACGAAATAATTCGAGTGAAAAATATTAAATTTTAATATACTTATTAGCGTTTAAAAATCGATATGCTCACAAATGCTTTCTTAAGAAACATTTGTTGTTGTTGTAGCAGCCCTATTGCTTTTACACAATGGGCTGAGGTGACAGACGTTGGCCGAGTAAGACTCGGGAATTAAGGTGACATCAAAGTTCCGCAATTTTGTTAATTGTTGTGCGAAGCCAATAATCCTAGTTCATGCGAGAGCCAGACATGTACTCTTTCTAACATCGTTGGAATTTTCGGATTCCGAAGTTCCAGTGAGGAGTTATCATGTCCGCTGTCAAAAATAAGGACTTTTCTTTGGTCACAAAAAAACAACAACAAACATTTTTTGTAAATCTTTAAATATGTATGTGCAAAGTTACAAACCTTAACAAGCATAGGTACTCATTTACCAGCCATTTAAAATCTAACAAATAAAAAATCGAGAATGGGTAGAGGGTCCCTTAAATACAATAGATGTAGACATTAGGAATACTTACCCTATATGCCATTTTGTCAATTTTAAACATTATTTTATAACAAGATTTACATTTGACATTATGATAAGTAGATTCAAAATACTACACGCATCTTATAACATGTGATACGCCAATAAGTCTATCTCATTTATACAAAAATTAACAAATTCGGCTTTATATTTTTGTGGAAAAAATATTTATTCGGTGTATCTATGATTTTTGCACATACCGATCGCTCGACCATTTACCATTTACGTATCTAAAATGTATAAATTGATATATTTGCACGTTTAAAGCGATTTCTAGCAGCCATGCTATGGAAAGAGTGCTATTCGTATCCATGTATCAAAAATATTAAATAACTGTTCTCATATATTAAGCTTGTAAAACGTACTACGGATTTTATAAAAGTGTTATCCAATTTTTCTGCAGGTGTTATTAAATTCGCCGATTAAAGTCGTTTTAGATGCGAAATGAAAATTAGTTTCTTTTTATATAATTAAAAATCGACGTGCCCACTAATCTTATCTTAGGAATTATCGCTGTCAACCCGACTTGATAAAAAGATATTTTTAAACCTAGATTATTTAAATTTTACAAATGAACGGATTTTGCTGACACTTATTTGTACCTACGTAAATACGCAAAGGTACGGCAAAAAGTACAAAGAAAGAAAGCATTTGTCATTTTTTTCCTGCTCTTAGAAATACTAATAAAATGACTACAAATGTTGAGAATGCAGAAATAAAAACAGCAAAATCTAAAATGTCGCATTAGTGGCCCGGAAAATCCTTCGAAAAAGGGACAGGCCAAATGTTGAAAGTTCAATGATAACGCCTAATATTTCATATTTATGTCAAAAATGTTTTATGTTCGAAATTTTTATCTCAAAAAAAATGAATTAAAAAACAATGGTGTTTTATTTATTTAACATTTATACCGTACAACAAATACCAAAGATCGAAATTCCGACCGACATTAGGAGAACATACACAATAGATTGAATAACGGATACGTACAATAATCTCACTACCACTTTTAAGTTTATTAGTGTAAATCGAAATGTTTGTTTAGGAATATATAGATTTTTTATGCTTGATCAATAAACATCAAGATATATTACCACAACCTGATCTTCTCCACTGTTCTAATTTCTCGGTACTTAGTTTTCTTGAATATAACATAAATATTAACAAATATATATTAATGTGTATGTAAGGAGTAATCCACAACTAATACATTAAGCTTGAGCGGTTCTACAATTCGAAATGACCCTTTCTGCGGCGAGAATAAGACGGCTGCGGCAAGACAATTGTCATGAGATAATCTATGTACTTTCTCAAAATTTATATTGGTCTAATTTACTATATCTATTTCCAATTCAATGCAATTCCTAATGTTATTTTAATAATACCCGAGACTAAAAAAAAACATATTTTTCTGTTTCGCTTAAATTTCTACATCAAAATCGATATTTGAATCCTTCATTTAGTAAAAAAAAACAACAGTAAGGGGGAGAACACTTCGTGGGCCAAGGGAGGTCATGCAACACACAATAAACAAATTGAAAATGTTGCTAACAAAAGAAAAACCAGTAGAACCAGAAATTAATGGCTCAACTGAAAATAAAAACCAACAAAAAACAAACTTGTTGCTAACAAAAACAATAAAAACAACGCACGTACAAATCGACATATAAAAATAAAATCGCTTTTTGCGAAAGGGAATTACAATGAAATCGACAGTGATGAAAAAAGTGTGTAAATTAACATGAAATAATTAACAAAAAATAAATGAAAGAAGAAAAGTAAAAGAAAAAATAACAACAAAAGGGAAACAAATTCAAATAAAATCTTTGATGCAGATTTACAACAATAAGACAAACAGTATATACACCTCATACACACACACATACATATGCGAGTCTTGCTGCTGTTTTTGTTATTCACTAACCCAACAACAACAGCAGCAAACACAGTGAGTGAACCACCATTAAGAAAGAAGTAAGAAAGGAACAAAACACAAAACTTACATTGAGAATGGGGAAAGAGGTGCAGCGCCCTCGTTTATTCAACTGCCGCTCGCTCGCTTGCTAGCTACACGCTCGTTCCTCTAAAATGCACTTCGCCTCCCTCAATAAAATGCACTCAACTGGACGATGTCTTGAAGAGGACGACAAGGAGGAGTGTGTGCGTGTGTGATCAAAATCAGGATACGTGTCTGTCGTTCGTCGGTGATTAGATTGTCTAATACGCTCGTTCA